CGATGCTTGTCGCCTCCTGGGAACACGAGGTGGGTCTGGGCCCATGCTGGAGAGTCGGCGCAGTGGCAGGATGGCTGCTGTGTTGCCTGGGATTACTCCTTATCCCCTAACCAACCTTATTGTTGGTCACGTGCTCTATAATGTTGTACAGTGGACATTTATGTGCTTTCTGTGCAGAGGAGTTTTTTTGTTTCCTGTTCTCATGCTGTCCTCCTATAGCCCAGCATGAATAGAGGTCTCTTTCTTTCCTCTTGTACTTTCCCTTTGTAGTGTACATTTCAGTGTTTTTTTCTGTAATGCAACCGTTCTCTGACTTGTATCCCCATGTGATGTCTGTGTTGTGTGTGTATGGTCGGGGGCGGGTTTATTCCACTGCAGGGCAACCTGCCACTGCATGTGGTGAATAAAATTTGAACTTGAACTTGAACAAATGGCCCCGCCCCTCCCTGATCCTGGTTCTGCCGGAGGTTTCTTCCTTTTAAAAGGGAGTTTTTCCTTCCCACTGTTACCAAAGTTCTTGCTCATAGGGGGTCATATGATTGTTGGGTTTTCCTCGAGATATCATTGCAGAGTCTCGAGGTGTCTGTCACTGTGACTCTTTGCTGTATAAAAAAGTCAAATCAATTCCGCTGACGTCTTCGACCTTCGTATCGCGCAGTTATTACTGCTCCTAGGGATGCCTTCTTTGGGGATCTGCCAGGCCCGGGAGCCGTCACCAGTCCCCTACAGAAACAACTGAAATAAAGATGGAAAAGAAGTTTAGCAGCAAGTTTAGCTGTGAAAACTAATATTTCTGTGATTCTCAAAACGTTTGGCCATGGCTAGCTATAAAAAAAAAAAATCCCCACTCGCCCGTGTGGGAGGTCAATCCTTCGAGCTCGGGTCCTCTACCAGAGGCCTGGGAGCTTGAGGGTCCTGCGCAGTATCTTAGCTGTTCCTAGGACTGCGCTCTTCTGGACAGAGATCTCCGCTGTTGTTCCCGGGATCTTCTGGAGCCACTCGCCTAGCTTGGGAGTCACTGCACCTAGTGCTCTGATTACTACTGGGACCACCGTCACCTTCACCCTCCACATCTTCTTGAGCTCTTCTCTGAGCTTTGGTATTTCTCAAGCTTCTCGTGTTCCTTAGTTCCTTAGGCAATAGTTGGCTAACCTCCTTGATCTTGGCTGTTCAACTTGTAGCCAAGCATCTCACTGATCACTGCTGCCGTATTGTAGATCAGCTTGTAGTGCTGCATTAACATCATCTAGCAGACCTTCTGAGGGTACTTCACGTAATCTTGGTAACCGGCTACGGGGGGTCCAGGTTTCAAGCTTGGCCATGATCCTATCTTTCAGGTCAGTTCCTCTCGCACTCAATGATCCTTCTCCTATCGCACTTGGGGCTTGGTACCCAATCTCGGGTGGGGGTGATGATATCTCCCCCTTGCCGTAGCATTTATGTTGTACCTCGTCAATCTCTAGCTGTGAGAGCAGTCCCTTCTTTCGAATGTTGGAACACTGAGCTGTCATTGTGGATGTTCGGTATCGAAGAATCCATAGGTCCCTCATCCTACTCATGTAACCCCTCCCGCCAGGGTTACTTTCGTAGTTGCATTCCAACAACACCCTGTTTTCGTCTCTTGCCCACTGATGCCCTCTTGTTCCAGTAGCCCACTTCTCGTCAGGGTGCCCTGGTTCCTCAACACCTGAAGCGGACCTTGTTCATCTGGGCGCCTTCGGTCATGTCTGCGGTAGGCTTGATTAGCATAGGGGGTCTAGCCTTAGGACCCTTACTGGATACAGACACCCCAGGAATCGAACTTGCGGTCCTGTGCTCCAAAGGCGTGTAGTCTAACCACTATCTATGGTCATAATCTCTTAAATTTGGATGTTGTTTTTTTTTTGCAGCAGTCAGTAAATGATTTGAGTGATCAATAAATGTGTTCACAGAGAGAGGAAGAGGAGTGGTGTTTGTGAGGAGGAGCAGCTCTCATGCTCTGCTTTGTGCCAGGACGTCCTGAAGGATCCAGTCTCTACCAGCTGTGGACACTGCTTCTGCAGACAGTGCATCTGCTCATACTGGGACCAGTCTGCTTCATCAGGAGACTTCTCCTGTCCCCAGTGTGGAGAAAGACCCAGAACCATAGCTGGACTGCAGACAGCCAGTCAGAGCAGCTGTGTACAAAGTAAGACTGAACATCTGTCTGCTGATGGACTCATTTCTGAAAACTGGACTTCTTGTGTTGTTCAGACATTGAAGAGTTTTCTTTCTCTTTAGTCTCATTGTTTTTCTTTCTTTCAGCAGATGTTGGTCTGCAGG